TGTGTACTTCTGAGTGGATTATGTTTATGTGTGGTTACATGACAATCATGTGGAATTTCACATGGATATTTGTCAAGAAAAATGTGTAAATTGTTTTGAGTGAACCATAACCGAAACATTGAAATACTTGAAAATTTTAAGATAATGTATAATAGTCAAAAGTGCATGAAAAACATCAATTTTGCGTGGTTCTACGTCATACTGCGGTCGTGTCTAGGACACCACCCTTAAGTATTTTTTTTTAAATTGTTAAGTTAACATAAAGATTAAACAGGAGGTTTCCGTCTTTGGGATAGTTATTCAGATAGACAAGATCTATCCTAAGGTAAAGAATTCAGCTCAAAATTCACTCACCAGGCAGCGCTAGAGGGACATTCATTTTGAATTATTTGCCCTAGCTTAGGATATGGGCTAGATAGACGGTTCCATTTTTAAATAAACGAAAGCTTAAATTGAAGTGTGGATGACAGGTATCTTCTGAACAGAGTTGACAACAAATTATTATTTTTTTTTTCTGAAAAAGGTTGCTGAATAAAGCGATATTACCTCTCATCCCAGTAGGCTTGGGTTCAATCCCAGTCGGCGCCGCCGGGATGTTCTGAGGCATAACATCTCTGATCACGCCTTCCTTCAGATGGGAAGTAAAGCCGTTGGTCCCCGGTTCATGAGTTGATGGGTCGATAGGTAGGGTCCAGGTGTGGGAACTGCCTTCCTGGCACGTCGGTAGCATTGGTGCTCAGCACGGAAAACAAGATCGACGGAAAAAACAAACCAAAGGAAAAAAAAAAAAAAACAATATAAACAAAGTTAAGCTTTACCCGAGCAGAGAATGAAAACAAAATGAAAACTGAGTTTGAAATTTTGATATAAGCGTTCGTGATAACATATTTTGCCTACCGTATGGTCGAGTTAAGTAATCATTACAAAAATGAGATCTAAATGGCATATGAAGGATATTAAAAAGATAACAAATCATGTTTACTTGAGAACAAATCTATGTATGCGTTTTGATACACTGAAACCTCCATTTACGAACCAAAACGGGGGTTCGTAAATCGAATTAGTGCGTAAAAAGAAAACTCGTTATTTGGGATTTACTTGGTAAGAAGAGGTTTTTGAAAATATTGTCAAATACCCCACAATATGGGTATTTTTGGAATCAGGGTGACGTGTAGGGACCGGAAATCGATGTCTGACGCCATTTCGAAATCCAAGATGGCGGCTTCCGGTTACTGAAAAACTTGGAAATTCTGCCAAATACCCCACAATATGGGTATTTTTGGAATCGGAGTGACGTGTAGGGACCAGAAATCAATGCATGACGTCATTTTGAAATCCAATATGGCGGCTTCCGGTTACATAAAAACTTGGAAATTCTGTCAAATACCCCACAATAAGGGTATTTTTGGAATCTGAGTGACGTTTAGGGACCAGAAATCGATGTCTGACGCCATTTTGAAATCCAGGTGTTGGCTTCCGGTTACAGGAAAACATGGAAATTCTGTCAAATACCCCACAATATGGGTATTTATGGAATCGGAGTGACGTGTAAGGACCGGAAAGCGATAACTGACGCAATTTTGAAATCCAAGATGGCGACTTCCGGTTACATAAAAACAGAAAAATAATGTTAAATAACCCACAATATGGGTATCTTAAGAATAAGGGTGACGTTTATGTACCGGAAATTGATGTCTGACGCCATTTTGAAATCCAAGATGGCGGCTTCCGGTTACAGGAAAACAGAAAAATACCGTTAAATACACAACAATATGGATATTTTCGGAATCGGAGTGACCTGTGAGAACCGAGAATCCATGTCTGACGCCATTTAGAAATCCAAGACGTTGACATCCGGTTACAGAAACACTGGGAAATACTGCCAAATACCCTACAATATCGGTTTTTTGGAATCGGGGTGACTTATTAGGACTGAAAACCCATGTCTGACGCTATTGTGAAATTCAATATGGTGACTTCCGCTTACATATAGACATAAAAATAATGTTAAATAACCTAAAATATGGGTAACTTAAGAATCGGGGTGGTGGCCAATTTTTCTGTAACCGGAAACCGCCATCTTGGATTTGGAAATGGCGTCAGACATAAATTTCCGATTCTCCAATTCCAAAAACACCTATATTGTGGGATATATGGCAGAATTTACAAGCTTTTCTGTTACCGGAAGCCGCTATCTTGGATTTCAAAATGGCGTCAGACATCGATTTCCGGTCCCTAAACGTCACTCTGATTTCAAAAATACCCATATTGTGGGGTATTTGGTAGAATTTCCAAGTTTTTATGTAACTGGAAGTCGCCATCTTGGATTTCAAAATGGCGTCATACATCGATATCCAGTCCGTAAACGTCACTCCTATTCCAAAAATACTAAAATTGTGGGGTAATTGGCAGAATTTTCAAGTTTTTATGTAACCGGTAGTCGTTATCTTGGATTTCAAAATGGCGTCAGACATTGATTTCCGGTCCCTACACGTCACTTCGATTCCGAAAATACCCATATTGTGGGGTATTTGGCAGAATTTCCAAGTTTTTCTGTAACCGGAAGTCGCCATCTTGGATTTCAAAATGGCGTAAGACATCGATATCCGGTCCCTACATGTCACTCCGATTCCAAAAATACCGATATTGGGGAGTATTTGACAGAATTTTCAGGTTTTTATGCTAACGGAAGCCACCATTTTCGATTTCAAAATGGCGTAAGACATCGATATCCGGTCCCTACACGTCACTCCGATTCCAAAAATACCGATATTGTGGGGTATTTCACAGTTTATCCTAGTTTCCCAAAATCACAAAAAAAAACTCGTTATTTGGAATTTACTTCGTAAAAAGAGAACTCGTTATTTGGGATTTACTTTGTGAAAAAAAACCTCGTTATTTGGGATTTACTACGTAAAAAAAGGGACGTAAATTGAATACTGCGTAAAAAAGACTTCGTAAACGGAGGATTCAGTGTATCAGTAATTTCGTTAATAATAAACACAATACGTAATCAATATGTTATTATAAATATGAAAGGAAAACAAAAAATAAAAATAAACTCATTTAGTTATTATTTTGAAATCTTGATATCAAATTTAGTAATCTGAATGTTTTGTATTCTATTGGTTGATATCAAGATTCAAAATCGAAAAATATTATCAATGAGTTTTAATTTATTTAAAACAAAAAGAAACCTATTTTTAATCAGTTGTAAATTCAATTCGCATGTAGATTAATATCAATAAATGTTGTAAACTATAACTGTAAACATCATAAAATTGTCTTTGTGATGTTTACAAAGAAAACCAAAAGAAAAAAAAATAAATAGATTTCAGTGATAAATGTGGATGCTCTTTTCATAAAATATCAAATTTTGTTTTAAACTTAATTTTTTTAGAAATATCAAAATAATATCAAAATATGAATTCAACTCAAACTAAAAAAAAAATAGTAGATTAATATCAATAAAAGTATTTAAAAAACATAATTTGATATAATTTTGATATTATTGTGATATCCAACTTTGCTCGGGGTTTCATCATATTGAGGAACCATCTGCCCCTTTTTGCCTACTTGAAGTTTGTGGATGCTTGAAATTTGGCTATTTTTGAGCTGATTTGTTTGTTTATTAATTTATTTGATAAGGCTCAACCGAATTAACTTTACAGAGCCAATGATTTTTGGTCACTATACAATACATCTTAAAACTATAGTCAAAAGGTACAACACAATAAACACTTTATCTTCCGCTATCCAAAAAGCCTCCTCCATCAGAACTGGAGCCGCTTCCAGTTGTTTCATTGTATGGCAAATTGTTGTACGCCAACGAGGGTCAGAGCGCGTCCATTGCAGCAATGGACGCAAAACGTGGTCAGCACTCACACACTCATCACGAAACGGTTGCTTTCCAAAGTCGACGACGCATCGACCGAAAGAACTGCTGATGAAGAACAATGAGGAGGACCACGCCGAGAAAACAGACGATCGCGTGGCACACATCGAGCTGCTTTTGTCGACAGCCGAGTGAACACTGTTTTGAGCTGATATTGCCTATAAAATTTTCTGTTTTGCAGATAGAAGCTTTTTGTTTTCAGAAAAGTTGTGTGTTTTATTGATTTTAAAAAAAGTTTCAGAACATTATAGTCATCTAAAACAAATAATTTCGGAAATATTTACAAAAAAACGGATCTTTGAGGCCCTTCTAAAAAACCGTTTCATAACTCAAAATTGCAAGCAGATAGAGACATGGCGTCTTCTACAAAGTTTTTAGTTATAAAGCAACTTACAGCTTAGCTGAAGACTTTATTTTTCTCTCTGGTCAAACTAAAAAGTTAGATTTTGCAGCACCACCTGTGGTGAAGTTTCGAACTAAAACTTAACTTCATTCAATGGGTTTTGTCATTTATAAAAGCTCGTCTGAAGAGACCCTATTGAAAAAACCACTGTAATAGGTGCTAATGAAAAAAGTTCATGGATTTGGCCTTTTGCACCACTGTTCATCGCAGAAATAGCACTGTAGCGTACTTTATTATTGATATGAAACGATAGAATATTTGAAAAATGTTTAAACATGTATAACAAATGACATCTATTAATAATAGCACATTTTTTAAACTGACACAGGTAAATCGATAACTTTATACTGAAAGTCATTAGCTGTATACATCAATGCAATCAACTCCCAATCAGCCCTCAGGCCACAAATTGAACATTTTGATAAATCTTAAATTTCTCTGGAATCATCGTGCAACCTACTCCAACCTAAGCAAACATTCAAACAAGACAGTGCTTTCTTTTGTTGAATTTAACCTGATGATGCGACCGGCTTGAATGTAGCAATTTTCTGATCCAAAAAAAAAAACACTCGTTATTCTGAGCAAAATGTCGTTATCTGAAACCACCTTACAACTGAGTGAAGCCTATTATGTGCCTCATCCTTTAGAAGGATTTTTCATGAAATGAAATTTTTCCTCCCTCTCTCTTTCCTATCTTTTCAGCCCCGTGTGACGATACTACCCAAACCGGTGGCACCCAGACCGAGACGCTACCGACCGAACAACAGCCAAACTGTCGATGCGTAAAGCCACCCACATTTAACGCCATCCCGGATCACCAGTCGGAGAGGGATGGAATCTGCAGATTTGCAGATTGACCAAACATCCCCGACTAATAATCTCGTGAAGTTACCACCGCCGGAACCACTGCTAACAATATCCGCTCAAATTTGCCGGAATGACGGTCGTTCATCCAGCCGGATCACTCTGGGGCCACTAGATCACCGGATGTTTGGGTCTACGCGTCGGTTGACGTCGTCGTCGTCGTTTTCTGTATTAAATTGATCCTTTCTGTCCCATCCGTCGCCACTGACTGACTGTGTTTGGAAACGAAACGATGACGATAGATATCGTTAAGTGGTGCGCGAGTGAGTGAGTGTGCGTGTCAAAGAAGATAAGAGGTTCTTCTTCTTCTGCTTGAACTGACAAACAGAAAAAGCCAAGCAAATTGAATTCAAGCCGGCCAAAGCCAGCAGCTAAAGTGCACGCCGCATAACCGACGACGAGGAGGGACCGCCATTATCATCATTGGCAATCCCGCAAATCCCCCTGAAACCAATGCTTTGGAGCAGCAACCGACGGAGACGGAGAGTGGAGGCTCCTTGCGGGCTGGTCCATCTGACGAAATGGTGCACGACGCTGTTTATCATTTTGGAATCTACGAGCGCTGGAAGTGGTAAGTGTGGAATGCGTCATTTTGGGGGGGTTTTCTTTGCTACTGGAATGGTGTCGTCGCCATCCCGACCGACCGGGTTGAGTGATATATGTAGGTATGGACACTAGAGCGCCAGTACTGATGTCATCTAATGTGGGGACGATTACCAGAAGGAAATTGAAAATTTCGTGCTAAAAGGCTCGCAAATCACTTGTGTGAAATATGGGCCTCATATGTTTGCTCCGAAAAAAAAGGATAATCAAATTTCTGTTATGACCTGGGAACCTTGTAAGGGTTAGGTTAGGTGGACCAGCAGCGACGTGACTAGAGTCCCAACAAATACGCGGGGTCACAGATGCAAGGGACCGTGTCAGAGTAATATTGTGTGAGATTGATATGGCAGATGAGCTTCCTAGGCTATGATGATCAGTTTTTTTTTTTAATTTGTGCTAAGGATTGTTCAAGTTTATAGAATGGTCATCAAAAATTGCCTGTTACATTTTAATTTTTCATTGTATCCGTATTGTTTATTCAGGATAGTATGAATTATGATCCAAACAAAAATTTGCATTGCATACATTAATGATAATCAAGCAAGTATTTAAAAAAAAAAACATTTACAAAATATCAAAAAAGTGAAATTCAATAATTCCGACTTTTTGTTTTCTCGCGTAAACAAACAAGTTTTTGTTTATTTTTCCTATCGGATCCTCATCTCCACTTACGTAAAAAATCTTATCCTTTACGTTTGTCAGATCATTTGATTAGAACAAAATGTAATGAAAAGTGTGTTGACTTGACATAGCTAATAGTGTACAAACTACAACTATTAAGGTTCAGTCCACATAATGAAGGAAGTGTTACTGCTACAAAAAATATAAACAACACTTTTAAGTGCTAAATATTTCCTATAACTTTGCTACCTTGCTCGATTCTCGATTTATTATATTGTTCGATTCGAGGAATCTCTTCGAACATAGTTTGGATCCTACCCTAGGTAATCTTACTTGGATATCGATTTGGAAAATTCTTCTTCAATAATTTGGATTCTTATAGTAATCTGCTTGGAAGTCGATTTAAAGAAACTTTCTTCTGCCGCCATTTCGCCTAAATGCAAAAAAAAGACAATCTCTAGATCCCTCTTCTGATGAAATTAAGTTGAGCATGCAATTTGTTATTTTCACGGATGATGAGAACGATCCATTATCCAGGCAAAATTCCATTAAACATTCCAACAATTAAAAGGTCCCCCGTATTGTGATTACCACTTCCGATTTTCACGCTCTTCGCACGGAGCTTTTGAACTTCGTTAATTTCGGGTTAAATGTTACGTATTGGCTGAAACCTTAGACGGATTCAAACGTCTTCCCAAGTGTCTTACTGCTCAGAAGAATGCAAATTTTTCACTTACGACACCAAAACTGAATGGCTGTTCAAGGTTGTCTGGCAAATCCATGGATCAGATCCAGTAGTGTCACTCCAAGTTATCAAACTGAACATGAAATCTAGGCCTGGCGATTCGCGCAACGGAATTTCTAATGATTTTTATTTAGTTCACTTCAAGTCTAGTGAACTAAACAACCTTAAGGCTTTCGAAAAAGCTAGCTTTATGCTCCAAGTCCGAGTGCATTGGGAACACTTCAGGAAGACTGGAGGAAATTTACAAAAAATCACCCAGTGCGGTAAGTGCCAGAGATGGGGTCACGGAACAGAAAATTGCTACATGCCATCTAAATGCATGAATTGTGGTGTTGCTATCCTGTGAAGGAAGATCCTAAGAAAATTAAATACCCAAATTGTGGTGATAGTGGTATTCCAATTTTTGGGAATGTAAGGCTCGCAAAGCGATCATACAATTTCGCGTTCAGCGACAAGTAGGAAACGCTAAACGCTAATTCCTCTGCTGTTAACAATGGTCGGCAAGGCACAAATTCTACATTCGTATCCGTAGATATAGGCCTGGGCTCTACAATTTTGAATTTTCATACAACGTGTTCAATGCATCATTTTTATAAAACCTAACTAGACTGTCAGCACTAGACTGGCCCACAACAATAGAAGTTCTAATTTTCCACAGGCCAACCTCTAGATTTGTGCCTGTAGGTGAGAAAATCATCCTCTGAAAGTCTAAGCTCATTTGGTTGTTGGATGAGCTGGCGCTTTTAGTTTGAATTTCGTATGGGGATTTTCGATAAAATACATGAAAAAATGACACTCCTACACTCTATCGATCATGAAAAAGTTTCCTTATTCTCGACTTGATTGATATTTTCGAAATTTGTAGTTCAATTAATGAGTAACAACTTTGCTCAAGATTGCATCATGAATCTAGTTAGTTTTATTGAGATATTCGCTTTTGAATGTGTATGAGCATTTTGAATGTGAAAATTTCAGCCAAATCTCATAATACAGCAATTCCATAGAAAAAAAGTTATAGTGGGTCTCAGAATTACATGAAAATTGGTATAGTTCTTCCTTATCAAAAAATATTAAACTCGTGTTTTTTATTGCGCCATTAGGGTGACCATTTCCGTGTTAGGGTGGTCCAAAAAATCATTTTTTTTTCAAAAATGTCTTTTTTTCAAAAATTTATAACTTCTGAACCTCTTGACCGATTTTTACGATTGACCCTTCAAATGGAAGATGTTTAAATGTTGTTTTAAGCAAAATTATGAAACACTCAGAGATATTTGATTTTGTAGGAAAAAATATGTTACAAGTGCTTTTTCTTTATTTTCACTGCGAGGGTCTTCAACAACTTCTTATTTTAGTATTTTTAATTGAAAAATCATTTAATTTTACATAAATTAGCGATGTGGGAGAAGCAGTTTTGGAGATACAATTTTTTTTAAATAAAAAATTATTGTTCCGCAATATATGCACCACACGTGCATGGAAACGATGAAGACGCAAGGTAGTTCACAATGCGTCTCCATCGAGTCACAGCAGCTGTGACTAATGAAATCTATGAGTAACTTACAAGCTGGGTGCAACATTCAGTTCAGCCTGGAGGCTGTCCATAAACCACGTAGACCAATTTTTAAACATTGCAGATCCTACCTCCCCCCTCGTATACTTTACTAAAATTTTAAAATATTTTTACCGAGCGTATACTGTGGCTGGACTCCCCTCCCACATTGAAGTCTTCGTGGCTTTAAAACAGGCCCCAGTTTGACATTATTAATTTTGGTATCAAAATTCTGGGAGAAGTACTTAAATGCTACAAATAATGACGAGGTCGAAGAAAAATAAGTAAAACATGAAGCATTTATTTTCTTTAATTACAATTTCACACATTTTTCTTCCGTAGAAAATGAATACCGTTTGACAATAATATACTTTTCGTTTTGAGGCTTAAAACTATGGAATGACTGTGTCCCCGAAATTTGGTTCACATGTATATAACGGTTTTTCAATTTTCTTTCCATTTTATTGTAATCGGATTCCGAAAAAAACTGATAGTGTATTTTTGAATCTGGCTTAGTAATAGCCATGAGTAAAGTTCTTGGGCCGTTGTTATATGGTAGCCTTGCAAAGCTTACTTTCGCAGCGTTTCATTTTAATACTCCTCCCAAAGCATCACAAGGGCCCTTTCCATGACAAGTTGCGAAAAAATTCCACTCGCATGCATGTTGCATAAATTAAAAGCGGTCATCTTATTTTTATATTGGCTTCCTGATCCATCTGAGAAAAAGTAAATCTGTTGTAAGCTTGGCAATTTACATTTTATGAACGCTAGACAATGCGTAAGAAATAAACGAACTGCGACATGATTATGTTTAGTGAAATCAGCAATTGCAATAAAACTAGTAAATTTCAAATCGTTAGATTCTTCGTCTTTAAAATAAATAGCACAAGGGTGAATAGTACATTGGGCGTTCGTCCAATGAAAGCCTTGAACTGCATCCTGCACAACGAAAGAATAATTCTCCGAAAAATCACAGATTATGATGCATTCTGTAGCTTTCAAATTGCTTTTGACGTGTTTCATGTAATTTGCCTGTTGCTCAGCTATAAAGTTATGCGGCAACAAATTGAATATTTTTTTCTAAAAAAGTAGCAATAAATTCCTGTGTGTCCATTTCAACTAAGTCCATAATGCATCTCTCTACTTGACGCCATTGTTTGAATTGTATTGATTCAACATGTCCGTTACTAAGAATAGTCATTAGTTCTGTGGCCAAAATTTGCGTTCCTGAACAATTTTTGCAACACTGCAGCCAGCATTGTTCACTTGGATTTTGACAAATTATTTTTTTAAACAAATCGTGATAGGAATCAACACCATCTGGGAGTGATTGTCTGCTTTGTAGTGTTTTAAAAATAAGTTTAATAATATATACAAACGCATACGGTATGCGGGCCACTTGTCCCTGCCAAAATGCAGTGTTTCGGACGGTTACTGGCGAACATGGAAAATCCTATTTTAATATCAGGATATGTATTTTTAAAGATGGAGTACGCTTCCTGCAAGTTACACAAAACTAATCTTCTTTGTACGTAGATTTTGCCTTCATCATTTTTAGATATTAAATAATCTCTTTTCCCCAGACAAACACGACTTATATCGTCACTATTGTAAAAATCACGAACAAGCATTATCGTTGGTTCTCCTAACGAAGCTCTGCTTGACATCTTTACAGGCACCGACATTATTCCTTTCTCTTGCTGCAGTGCCTTTGCTTGGTTGGCCATATGTTGGGAAACATTGAACTCCTTCATAATTCTATATGTAGACCAACTTTTGGGAAGTGTGGTTAAAATCCTGTATCGCTCATTGCTGTCTATTGTTTCTTTATATTTATCTTTAAGTTGTATAAGGAATTCATTTTCGTCCGACAAAGGTGCGTTGTAGGTGGTAACGATCGATTCTGGTTGTTTCCACTGATTCTGAAAATAAATATAAAAATGATTGATTATTAGAAAAAAAAAAACATACAAATGATTTATTTTTTATTATTTACCTTGGCAGGGAAAAAGAACCATTCTGGACGGTCCCGCAACGGAAATTGATTCAATGC